TGCACCAATTCCTTCCTGTGCTTCAGTTTCAGTTAGTTTGTCTTTTTTCAACTAAAGGAGTTCCACCTAATACTACAGGCTGCAAGACTCCCAAATCCAGTGCCCAATCTAGCATACTCTGAGTGCTTCTTGCTGCTGATAACAATGACACAATAAAGTTCATTTGCAGGAGTTTCTTAAAATGATATTGAAAATACAATGGGATTATTTCTAGTGATGCAAATCATTATTAGTGTAGGTGGATTTGGAACAAAAGTGCTTGCTATACCTGAACTTCTATTTGCTTGGTTTAACACAAAATAGCTCTGCTATTATTCATTTTGAGTTCACCTATTAAACTATTAATTCACAGTATTTTAAAAATTCAATTGCAACAAAGCAGGGAAGCTTTCACATGCCACACCTTGTAAAAATTTAAGGGAAAGAACACGTTAAAAAAGAAAATTACCTTGAAACATTTACTAATATTATAACCTATTATATTAATTCAGTTGTTTAATAAATACTTATGAACACCTGCTTTTCACAGGAGAATAAAAGTATGAACAAATTCAACTGTTTTCTTTTGGTTTGGCAGTTTAAGCAGTATTTGGTCTTCTTTCACAGACATAACTGCTGAATCTAGAGGTCTGTAGTCTGTTACCTAAGGTATCAATACAAATATTTCATTTTTCATGTGAATTTTACTCACTGCCTTCCTTTTAAAGAGTTTAAGTGATAAAAAAAATTAACAGTTTAAGAAACATTAGTCTTCAAACTTACATTCATGACTGTTCAATAGAGGCAGGGGTCATTGTGCAGCCCTATGTTAGGCATAGTTAGGCCTAAGGCACAAACAATATGGTAAGGAAGAAACATTTGCTGACTTGGGGCCACATGAATTTTTTAGTGTGTGATTTTAAATTGTAAAAATAAATCTAACTCCCTTGAGAACAGCAGCTTCTGCAACAAGACTACAACTCTGTGCAACCCAAACACGTGAACATTTGGCTTTAGACAGCACACAAACCTTCCAATTAGTTATAACCAGTGCATATGTAGAGAGACAGAAACTCCAGCGTGGGATGTGGACAACTGATGACAGCAGTCCCACAGAGCGTCACCAATGGTCAGCTCTTCCAGGTTTTCACTTCATGCTTCCAGGTGCTGTGCCATCAGTCAGCTTACCTGTGCTCAGTCTTAGCCGCTAGGCTTTTAGCTACATTCAAAATTTTTCATTTAAATGAAAATTACCTTCTATGTTGAAATTATATAAAATGCACATAATATCAAACATTAGCATATGTCAAGTTTGTGTGCTCTCTATTTGTTTTACACCTAACTTTAAAATACATTTCTTGATATCGGAGAGTATAAGTGTATTTTTGTTATTACATATGTATTTTCTGGCTAGTGGTAAAGAACCTACCTGCCAATGCAAGATTTGCAGGAGATGTGGGTTTGATGGCTGGGTGGGAAAAATCCCCTGGAGGAGGGCATGGCAGCCCACTCCAGTATTCTTGCTTGGAGAAGCCCATGGCCAGAGGAGCCTGATGGGTTTGCAGTCCACAGGATCACAGAGTCGGACACGACTGAAGAAACTTAGCATGCATGCATTGTATATTCTGTATGTATCTTATTCCCATCATTTTATATCAAATATAGGCCATATGGAAGTGCTTTTCTCAGATTAATGAGACTGAGTTTGGGGGGTCATTTTAATTAATGCTTGAACACATTTGAAGAACTACGCAAAATGTAAAGTACAACAGAAAAAAATATAATATTAAACTTCACTGCTTATTTTCTTAGGTGTTTATTGATTAAAGTGGAAACTTACATTACCATATGTAAAATAGAGAGCCAATGGGAATTTGCTGTGTGTCTCAGGAAACTCAAACAGGGGCTCTGCAACAACCTAGAGGGGTGGGATGGGGCGGGAGATGGGAGGGAGGTTCAAAAGGGAGGAGATATGTATACCTGTGGCTGATTCATGTTGAGGTTTTACAGAAAACAGCAAAATTCTATGAAGTAATTATCCTTCAATAAAAAATAAATTAATTTAAAAAAAGATACTAGCTCATTGACTGAAAATTAAAAACTGCTTTTTGGAAGAGTATCTTGGTATGAGATCTCAAGTAAGTCATTTGATCTCAAAGACTTGGCTAACTTCTTTGCAAAATGACAATGTATTATTTTGAAAGTCACAGAATAAATGAAAGCTAATTTCCTTGCATATCAATCAATGAAGCCATATAATAAATACTTTACTAAATTGTACTTTGTTGGACATATAAAGGAGTTCCTAAAAATATGTTAAAAGTCAAACATCAAATAACATGAACGGCAGAGTCAAATAAAACTTTGAAAAAAATCTTGAAAAAATATCTCAAAAGTCTTGGTTACTAAAAAATTGAGGTCTAAATCCAATGATTTCTTATTCCTACAAACACATATTTCAAAATTGTTATCCTTTTGACAATGCTACAACAGTTGCTAGAAAAGCAAAACAATCTCCTCTAATCTTTGTTGTTCACATAAACAGAGCCAAAGCAGCGAACAAAATGACTTGGTGTGAGACATTACAAGTTCATCTTTCTACTGAGGTTTCGGGACTGAGAAATACTGTGGTTAAAAAACATCACATGAAGGCTGACATGGAGACTTCACAATCAATTACCATATTAAGGTGTAGGAAAATAAAGTGGTAGAAAAATAAATTAAATTGCTATTTTATTTCTTAAATTTTATTTATTTATTTATTGGTTTTGTTTTGTGAGATCTTAGTTCCCTGATCAGGGATTGAACACAAACCCCCTGCAGTGGAAGCATGAAGTCTTAACTACTGGACCACCAGGTAGGTCCCAGAGTTGCTGTATTAGATATACCTGAATTATACATGTCTGCATGATTATGGAATTTATATCCAGTATGGCTGTAAAATGGCACTAAACACTCTTGCATCTCCAAGAGTCTAATCTTAATCTCCATTAGAATCAAATTGGTTCTTCCAGGATGACAGAGTTTTACAATAACCTATTAGAATATTTTCCTTTGTATCCTCTACTCTGTCCGAGTCATGCATGGGGGTGTCACACACTAGATGAAGTATGGACCATCAGTAATGCGGTGTGAGGGGATGAGAAAAGGGCACAGTTTAGATTCTGAAGTGCTTCATTGGTTTCACAAAAGCTTTTTGGTTTCTGGGTGTCATGGGCTGATGTTAGAAGTCTTGTTGGACTTGTTAAAACCCTGTTAGTTATTTTTGGTGAAATTTGGATTTCAGAAGGGAACTGTCAAGCTATCCATGAGAAATTTCCAAGGAGTCTCTGGTTTAATGATAAGGAGAAATCCCAACTCTAAGGCACCAGGGAAGAAAGAGCATCAGATATGAGGAGGTTGGAGGGCTGGCCTGGCAACACCAACATGTGCTGTTGGGCCAGTTGTTTCCTTTGATGTCGGCAATGATAAGAATGATGCTACAACAAAGGCAAAGTGCCTGACAAAGAAACTTAGACTAGAATGAAAATATGTAAAATAATAAAACTAAAAACAAAGTAAATCATCTCTAAATTAGAATAGAATTAATGATATTACTTTGATATTAATAAATACTTCCATTTCTCATTTAGAGGACTAGTTCCAGAAAAAATGCAATATGTTAAAAAAAACTTTTAAATCTACTTTTATGATAACTATTCTTATTAATGACCATAAGCTTGCCAGAGCTGTCTGTTACTTATGAATTACTTGCATATTAACAGGGAATCTATTTCTTCTTAATATCTTAATAATTATTTAATTGCATTCTATTTTCTTTACTCCCATTGGAATATGTCCAAGTTGGACAATATCTAGGCAATTTAGAATAACATCAGTAATAACATACTAATTTTCTCAGTGAAGGAATTTCAATCCAGATGAGACTTGGTCACTAGTGATAAAGGAAGAACTGATGATCCAGTTCAGAGACAATGATGCCACATACTAATACAATTAGAAACTCCCTGAAACTGAATTTTCATGATCTTATTTTTGCAAGTCTTTTCTCCAGAATCAAAGATATAAATATCTCAATAACTTTCAGGCAATTTAGTTCATCTATCTGATACCAGTTTTTTCTCCTATAAACACAAATTTTTTTAAGCACAGAAGGACAAAGTTTAAGTATTTTTTCAAGTGCAAAAATTCAATAGTGTAAGCTAGACAAAGATAGGGTTCTAATGGATTGAATAGTCTCTTCAGTTTCAGTGATTTAGAAATATCTGTGGGTCATGTCATAGAACTAGAAGAGAACCAAAAGGGTAATTTTTAAGATAGTGAATTTCCTGTCTGAAGGAAGATGCATTCATCCACGGGGAAATTTTAAAACAAAACAAATGATTAGACATTTAAAAAACAATGTTGCATGCACGCTAAGTCACTTCAATCCTGTCTGACTCTTTGGGACCCCATGGACTGTAGCCCACCAGGCTCCTCTGTCCAAGGGATTCTCCAGGTAAAAATACCGGAGTTGGTTGCCATGCCTTCCTTGGGGATCTTCCCAGCCCAGGGATCTAATCCACATCTCTTAAGTCTCCTGCATTGGCAGGTGGGTTCTTCACCATGAGCACCACCTGGGAAGCCCCCAAAATAACGTTACATACACATGTATATACAACAAGCAACACAAACATTACATAGTGATGGTGATGGCTTTGTCGCTCAGTCGTGTCTGACTCTGTGCGACCCCATGGACTGTAGTCTACCAGGCTCCTCTGTCCATGGGATTTCCCATACAAGAATACTGGAGTGGGTAGTCATTTCCTTCTCTAGGGGATCTTCCCAACCCAGGGATCGAACCCAGGCCTCCTGTAGTGCAGGCAGATTCTTCACCAACTGAGCCACCAGATAAACATCACATACCAAACTTAAAAAAAAAAGAAAACCCTAAATGACCCTTGATGTCTGTGACTACGAAGAGTGGCCCACTCACAATTAGAACTCGAGCCTCATTCTGGTGTGGGAAAAAGTGAACTGACCTTTTTTGGCGAGGCTGTTGTTAGGTTCATACTTCTCAATCAACACTTGGACTTGCTCTTGCTTTAAAGGTGGGTAAAGTATTTCATTTAGCCGGGGATCTCGCTGCTTGAGGTTGATAAAATCCATCATCTGATCAACTGTAAGGTATGGTTTGCTTTTGGCACCACTAAAAACAGTTAAATACCAGGAAATTAGCAGGTTTTTCTGTTAAGTATCATTCATGTATTTGCATTTAGCAGCTCTGTAGAATAAAGGCCTGCCATACCTGGCAAGAGCATGCTATACTGGAATTCCTATCTGGCCCTAAACACATTGTGTGGCTCCATCACAACTGCTGTATCTCTATGGGATGCAAACACTTTGCAATGACTGCCACCAAATCCCAATGCCCTTGAACTATACCAGATGCAAAAGAACACCACAGTAGGGAAGATGCGTTTTGTGTGTGAAGGTGCAGCACTCTAAAGGGAATACAGGTTATGGGTTGCTGTTTTGATTAGGATGCTAAACTGGTTTAGTCATCAAATTCTCATATTCTGCTTAATCATCCTAAAGATGTATTTATTACTCATTACTAAAAAGAACCAATATGATTTGGCACATTTTCCTTTTCATTAAAATTATGCTTCAGCAAGAGTCTATAACTCTGCAATGTAGTGTGATTCAAAATTCCCATTTCAATCCTGTTGACAACCCAAAGACAAGTTCAATGGTACAGATGTTGCAGATGTTCTATCAACAACTGATGGCAATGAACTCAGCAAAGTACTGTGCTTGATTTCCATATGAAAAAAATCTTTATTTAGCTTATCAATTTTGGATTGGTCTGTCAGCATGTAGATTTCAGTATATCAAGAAGGTTAAATTACTCCTTCCCCATATTTGCCTTGGTGTTTTGATTTCTTTTTTTTTAATCATTAAAAAAGTAATGTCTGTATAATTTCTAATATAAAAGCAAATAATTTTCATCTGGGAGGGTTCTTAGTGATCTGAAATTCTCATTTCACTGATGCACTGCAGAGAAGTATGATGACGGGTTCCTGGATCAGCGTTCTTTCTACAACATGAATCTATCTCTGCAAAAACTCTTGCATACGTGCTTCTCAGTTCTAGCCATAGTCTTCAAATCATACAGAGACTCCAGAGAATATTAAGACAATGACACCCTGCAACAAGTCACAGCAAATTTCACTCATTACAAGCAGTGACTGAACCTCAGAGGTATGAATGCGTGATTGTCTCTGACAAATGACGCAGAAGCAGTGCTATTACTCATTGTACAAAGAGATTCTGACATCTCCCTCTAGCACTCAAAACGCTGCCACAGCCACACTGAGCACCACTGTATGCAGGAACAAATGGGTTAAAATGTGTTCTCTTACAATTCGGAAAAGATGTTATCAATTTCAGGTCGAGGACAAAGGTTGTTCAGGAAAACTCTGTACACTTCAGGAGTGAAATCTTCTTGAGGTATCGAATCATTCTGGGGAATAAAATAAGAGGGTCAGTAAATAGTCTTTTTCTTCATTATCTTCCCTTCCTGTTTTGTCTGTCTCTTTCCTCCTTCTTTCCTCTTTCTTTTAAGAGCTCAGAGTAAGCATTCAGAAAGCCTCTACGAGGCTATCATTACAGGGACACTAGTTTTTGAGGTATCAAAAGCTCACTTTCTGTTTTCTCATTATATTTTAAGCTTAAGAGTTTTCTCCTTCTGAAGGGATGTTAAGGCAATTTCTAAAGTAAGTTAGACCTAGTAAAAACATGGTCTGTTCAGCATTTTTTTTCTTTTAGGTTGCTTTTCCTGGTGACTTTAATCTCATTTTTAATTGTGATAAAGTATACAGAACATAAATATGTCATTTTCACCACTTTTAAATGTACAAATCAGTGGCATGAAGAGCATTAGCATTGTTCATGTGCTGTTTAGCAGACTTTTGAGTGAATGTATTTTTCTTTGGAGAACCGGAGAAGGACATTTTCAAAATGAAAACATAAGATTCCAATTTTGTGTCTTTTTTTTCCAAAGTGTTCTTTCTTTTTTAAGTAAACTGATAAGTTACAACACAGTTTTCATAAGTAGGACACCAGTCATCATTTGTCACTGATTCCTCTCAGTCCTATTGTTTAGAAAGCAAGTCACTGATATAAAAACTGAGTTTTGTGACTTAATTTTCTGTTTACTGGGGCTGCCATGGAAACCGGAAGCATGTATTCAAGCATTTGTTAACAGGAAGGACATTCTTCATGCCATGTTTTCTATTTCGGGTATGTGTTTATATGATTATTTTTATTTTTAAGCCCTTAAATCAAAGAAAACATCCTTCCTTTTACCATATTCATATTTTTGTAAATATACTTTTATAGAAGTATATAAAAATTATTGTCTGAATTATGGTCTGAGACTGCACTGCTTGCTAACAGATAAGAAAACTCAGTTCACCACTTGGCAAACAGCAGGAGTCCTACATTTGAGAAATGAACAAATAAAATAACATATTCTTTACTAAATTGATTTATAGAGCAGGAAAAAAAATCCATTTTGCAAAATAGCATTTTGAGACAACCAAACAACACACATCATTTATATATAGCAAGAAGCATTAAATGGTTAAGCTCAGTAACCTGGACAATAACTTTGAAATCATAAGTATAAACAGCCAGTTCCAAGAAGGAAATTCCAACATATTGTTTCATGATGATTTGCCACTCATAAAATGGGGAAAAGTTTAACCTGTGAACAGGTTTCCAAAATTCCATTTAATTTACAAAGTGAGAGAATCCTTTTGACTGGAGAATGTATACTTTTTAATTGCCACACTCTCTCTGAGTTAGACACCCATGTCTCTTATAAGTAGCTTTGAAAATAGCCAAAAATGAGCATTGCTATCATATTCTCTGGCTGAGAGATACAGGGAAGAGAGATTTAAAAACAAATCTCAAGGAAATACTCAGTGCCTCATTTGGCCAACTCAAGCATCAGACTTTATTGGCGTTGATGAACCCCAAATTTGTTCTCTTATACTCCCTGCTGTTTAGTTACTATTTAGAGATCCCTCTACTTCCCCTTCTCCAGATCTCACTAAAAGCATACAAGCAGATTTTGTCTAAGGCTATCAGTCATTGTCTTCCTTTTCTTATCAACTTCCTTTATTTTCCTCCCTTCTTGTCTTAGCTTAAAACCTCTTCCTCCTACACCAGGTTTTAATTTCCATTCTGTGCTATTATCACACGATGCTTGTCTCCTGTTTCAGTTCTTACTTAACTGTTTTGTGCTTCCAGATGTACAGTTTTCTGTGTTACTTGCTAACCTGCAGACTGACACAAGCTAGGACCTGTGTGTTGTTAATTGCTCAGTCTCTGTAACATACAGCAGGTTCACAATAAATATTTACTAAATGAATGAATGTAATTTATGAAAAAGGTGGAAGTTGATAGCAAATATGCTTCCCATAAGATATCAGATTCAACTAAAGCCATTTACAAAAGAATCCATACACATCATTTCATAAGATGACATGCTTTACTAAAACTCTATTTTTTATTAACCAGCTATAAATTAGAACTTCTTATTAGAGGGGACACATTGATGAAATAATCTGTATAAATACAATATTACTTTTATTACCAGTCGGATGTTAGCACCTAGAAAATGGAAAACATTTCAATACAGCTTCATTTGTCTCTTGTCCAACTTGATGGATGGGGATAACCTTTGGGGTCAGTGGGTGAAAATGAGGGAAAAACATTTTGGAGAAATAAGTTGAAATGAACATCACTGAAAGCTAAAGTGAAAGAATATGGAGGAGATATTGAGGGAAAAGCTATGGTCAGTTAATAATTCCTTACATTTTAAATAAGGCTGGAATGTGCAAAGATCATTCACATACTTTATTTTCCTGGATTTCATGATTTGGTAAAGGGGATAGAACAGACTCATTGTGCCATGTTTGAGTAGCATGAAATCTAAGGACGATGCTCAAGAGCATACCAAAACGTCAAACACTCTTTTGTGAATACTTCTAAACCAACCAGGTAGAGATGTGTGTGCAATTTTTTGTGTGTGTGTCTGCAATCCACCTTCATATATATTCTTTATAGCATCCACCCACACAGTTTTCCTTTAGTTTTTATATTTCTGATTATCAACTAGACTGTGTTTTTGAATAAAGTGCACTATCTCTTATTTAATTCCTTTGTGTCTCCAGAATAATGTGTGGCATATAATATACACCTAATGAATGCTTGTTGAATTCACTCAGGATATGGCACCAGACCTTAGATCTGTCGTGGTCCAGGACTTCGTTTACTTCATCATGCCACCAGCACATAACAGATTATCAATGATTATTTGTTTCCATTATTATCAAAATTTTTTGAAGGAAGAATTAAGAAGGCCAATACAGTCTGAATCAGGCCCATTTATTCCAGAAACTACAAAGTATTTTCCTTAAAAATGGAGTTGCTTCAATTCTATGGTTGAATACAAAGAATCTACCTTCAGTACAACTTGAAGGTAGTACTGGTGGTATTTACATCTCCAGATTCCAGAAACAGGTTATGAAATATCTACATGCCAAATTAAAAATAACAAAGTGAAGTAAGCCAGACAAAGACAAATATTATATCATTTTTATGTAGAATCTTAACAAATGATACAAATGAACTTACATACAAAACAGAAATAGACCTGGAGGCATAGAAAACAAACATACGGTCACCAAAGGAGAAAGGTGAGGAGGGGTAAACTAGGAATTTGGGATTAATATACACACACTCCTGTATGTAAAACAGGTAACCAACAAGGACCTACTGCATAGCACAAGGAACTATACTCAATATTTCATGATGATCTATAAGGTAAAAAAATCTAGAAAAAAATATATGTACGTAAAAAAGAAAGTGAAAGTCATGTATATGCATATAAATAATTCTCAGAGGATAATAAGAACAAATATTTATTGAGCACTTACTGTATGCCAAGCATATAGTTCTAGGAGCTTTACTTGAATGCTTTCATTTAACTCCTTGTCAGCTCTATGAGGTTGGAATGGTGATCCTTTTTACAGATACAAACGCTAAGGAGATAGGAGTTTACAAAACTTGTCTATGGCATCAAGCTGATGGGGGCGGGTTTGCTGTTTCAAATTAAGGTTTCTTGATTCCTCAACTCATGCTGTAATCCAGAAAACTAAATTTCATGCCAGTTTTTGGATATTGTTTGTATTTTCTTCTTTGTATATTTATAGATTTAAAAAACTTTGTAATAAATAAGTGTTTAACATTCAGAAATGTTATTCTAAAACATATTAATTTATTTCAGTGGACTCTAATGAATAAGGAGTCCACATGCAGATTTTATCTTGACTAATCAATGAATCATTTTGCAGTAAATTCAGGATTTCAACCTATTAATATTTTTGTTCTAAAGGGATAAAACAAAAGTTGTAGCCAGAGAGGACATGAAAATTACAAGTAAGCTACTGATAATGAACCAAATATTAAATGTGGTTCTAAAATGGAATTGTGTATTAGTGATTTTAAGATTCACAGCTGAATAAGTCAGTATATTTCTGATTTACATTCTGGGTATAAGGTATAGGAGAAAGGCAACATATTGCAGTTATCCTGGGAGAAGTTCTTTGGTAAATTTCATTCACAGTATTCTTTACTAAAATGTATCAAATTCTGTAAATCCAAAATAATCACTTTTTTGGGGGGTATTACATGTATGTTGATAGCTATAGTAAAATTTATTATTCAAAAAAATATATAGATTTATTCCTATCTTCTTCACTAAAAGGCCAGTGCTATTCCAAGATTATAATGTGATCCCAAATGTCACTGAGCTTTTCTTTCAAGTTAAAAAAAGCCTTAAATCAAAGGGAATTTGGTGCAAGTAAATTATTTTCTGTTCTCAGAAAGCTTGTGGGCAAAGTAGCAATTTTATGAATATGGAAAGGCCTTCAAAGTTCTCACTGAAATATGTATTTGGATTATTAATAGAAGACAGTAATTGTTTTAGCTCTGTTTTTACATACATACTACTTTTTAACAATTAAGGTAACTTTAATGAGCAATTGAAATAGCTAAAGGAGTACCCATTACGGAATGTGTTATTTCAATGGATCATGTTGGTCAGGATACGAGTTCAAGTGCATTAATTATCCCTAACAATGTGCACAAAGATAATGTCTAAAAAAATCACAACAGGATGTCCACAGTATTTCTGGTAATGTATCTATTTACAGAACACAATTAAACCTAGTTTGAACAGTTCAGTTCAGTTCAGTTGCTCAGTCATTACTGACTCTTTGTGACCCCATGGACTGCAGCACGCCAGGCCTCCCTGTCCATCACCAATTCTGAGTTTACTCAAACTCATGTCCATTGAGTTGGTGATGCCATCCAACCTTCTCATCCTCTGTCGTTCCCTTCTCCTCTTGCCCTCAATCTTTCCCAGCATCAGGGACTTTTCAAATGAGTTTGCATAACCACTGGCTACCTGAGGCTCCCTGAGATGTACTGTAATTAATATGATCTACCACTTGTATAACCATTTCTTCTGTGAAGTGTTTAAAACACCTGTTGTCAGTATACCTTTGCTAATTAGTGAATATTTTCTAGAACCACTATCCTGTAGATATGAAATTACAGCAAAGATTCAAAATACATAGTCAGTCCCAGGACACGTGTTTCCTAGCCCTGAAACTGACTTTGGTTTATAGATCTTTTCACAGCATTCTACTTCTGCCACTCCTCCAAGCAGAGCACACTTTACTGTGAATAATGAGCTTTCAAAACTTTATGAGGGAGGCTGATTTTTTTTAAAGCTCCAATTTGTTTTCAGAAAATTGTCATAACATTTAATTTACTAGAGATAAATATTGTTTCAATTTAAACCCAACTCCTGCTATCTGAATCTCATTTTCCTTTAAAAATGTCTCCAATTGACACTGGTTTGAAAGTGCGAACCTATAAATAAAGACAGTGGATTATAAAGACTCAATTTGTATTTATTGACTGAATTCTCAGAATCCAATTGTTTAGAAAGTTGTAATACACAGAGAACTGGTTGATGGATTTGATTTTCTATTCAGCTTTTTCTATTCCTTCTTTCCCTTAGCTAGATTTATAGTAACAAGTTAACATTTTTATCTTTTTTCCCCCACAAGATGTTAGGTCAAATCAGGTAAAGGTCAAATCAGGAGCAACTGCAGAGGAAACAAATTCTTTGCAAATCTTTCTAAATTCATGTTTCATGCTTTTTTTTTTTTCATGCTTAAATACAGTGATCTTTTTACAGTTGCTCAAACTGGTAAACTTTTTCCAGCCTCAGGGTGCTGCACACAGTTTTCTTTTTCTGGAATGAATTTCTCTTATTCTCAATAGCAATGCTCCATTCCATTTGTTCAGGGCGTTTCCCCCAATTTACATGTGTAGTTGAAGTATTTAACTAGCACCCCCAGAGAATGTATAGTCCTTGAATCCTGGCACTGGAACTTAATTTTTCCCACTACCATATTCTCAGGGATGGAGGGCACACAGTAAGAGCTCAAGAGATATTCCTTGAGTCTGAATGGATAAAGAAGGTGTGGATAAAAATATATGGAATATATGTGGCATATATATATATATATATAGTGGAATACAATTCATCCTTAAAAAAGAATGAAATAATGCTATTTGCAGCAACGTGGATAGACTTGGAGAGCATTGTGCTAAGTGAAATAAAACAGGCAAAGAATACTATATTATATTACTTATATGTGGAATATAAAATATGGCATAAATGAATCTACCTATGAAATAGAAACAGATTCAGAGACATAGAAAACAAATTTAGGGTTACCAAGGGGAAAAGGTGAGGTGAGGAGGAGATGGGGGGAGGGGTGGATTAGTGGTCTGGGATTAGCAGATGCTAACTATTATATTAATATAGGATAAATAAATAACAAGGTTCTATTGTATAGCATAGGAAAAAACTACATTCATAGCAGAATCACTTTGCTGTAGATCATAAATCAACACACATAAATCAATGATTTTTCAATTAAAAAAAATAAGAAAAAATACTACAGGTCAAATTTAAAAAAAGAAATATTTGTTGAGTCAAGGACAGGATCTTAACTGTTACATCTTTCTGGCTCCAAAGCATGAAACAAAAGAGCAATAACAACAAGCTTGATCATTTTCTTTTGCTTATTAAAGTGAAGCTTAAATGTTCGGGGAGCCCTTTCATGGTTCTGTCCAGTGTTTGGCACATCAGCAACTGTTTCCACAGACAGCAAGACACCGACAGCAAACAGTCGCTCTTTTCTTTTCTGTTGCCTACAAAAGTCTTTAATACGTTTCATTTTTTTCAAAAATATTCTCAAGAAGAACTGGCCAACACAAGAGCTCTGGACACTTTTCATAACTTATTCACAATTTAAGAATGTTTTCTCAACCTCATTCGGTGCAACTTCAATGTTGCCAGTAGGTTTCAAGAGACTCAGGGCTTCTTCCTTGGGTATAAGTGTTATTTTTGCTTACTTGTTGCTTAGATACCAGGATAAAAATAATTTGTAACAGAAAGGAGTGTTCTACATAGAGGAAAAGAAAAAGGTTTTATGCAATATACCCAGCTACCCCAGAAACAACAGTAAATTTTTTAGAACCAGGTATGTAGAAATGCATTGAAATAAAGGCAAATTACTTTTTTTAGGAGGTTAATGTATACTAAGTGCCTCAAATCACTAGGTGAAAAACCAAAAGCATCTCACATCCTTGTCCTCTCATTATGTGTCACTTAGGTGCAATGTAGGCAATATCCAAAATGTTTTGATCCTTCACAAAGCCTTTTGAGCACTGCCCTGCATAGTACGTAAATAACATTTATTTACTCTGTTTATTAACTTATCAGTCTTAAACCTAGACTTTTAAAAGAGGGATAAAATGAAATTAATATTTTTAAATCCTCCTAATCATAATTCTTAATCATCAGTTAATATCTCAAGGAACTTCAAGAAAGGATTTGTTATTAATGAGCAGCTTAAATTCTTGATAATGTTAATATTTTTTGGCCAATACATTTTTGGCATTAGTTGGTTATTTTTTAAAAAATTTACAATGAACAAGGGGCTTTCTTATTGAAAATACTGGGATTACGGGATTGAAAAAGATATATAGTGACCTATATATTGCAAATATTAACAAATAAGTCATATTCTTAACTTTAAAAATGTTTGGATAATATTGGGGCATGATATATTTTAGTATGCTTATCCAGAGCTATTAAGCAGTGGTAATTTCAGGAAGGCGTCATGCTCACCCTTGAAGATGGAAGACTACATGCCTCTAAAGCTGTCTCGACTCGCTTCCGGTCTGCTGAGAACAGGCGGTATATGCTGTGAAGGGAAGGCACGCAGGTGAGAGAGGCTGCGGATGCCGCCGGCCACCACACCCCACTCGCTCAAACCTCGTCATCCCTCGTCCCCAAAGACTGAACACATAGCACTCCTCCGGGATTAGCATCTGTGCTCTGGAAGATCTATGTGTGTGCTTTTCAAAATCAAAGTGTCTAGTAGCAAATTAATATTTTGAGACAATGATGATGACCCGATTAAAAAACATTGCATTAGAAATGATTCTAGTATGAAGTTTTAAAATAAAATCTTGAGAATTTTGTCTCCTTGCTGCTACCACTGCTTTGAAAGTATACATTGCTAATATTATTAATAAATAACTTTTTATGAGCAGAAGCTCACTGGTAGCTGTCAAAAGTTGAAGGATTTTGACTGACTATGGTCTAGAACTGCACTTTTTTGGCCAGTGATTTTGCTTTAAAATATATAACTTAGATAATGGACAGTTTAGTAATTTGGATTTATGGGCTCTATTGAAACATTAGGAAATCTATCACCTGGAAACCACCAGCCCCATGGGGAATCTGGTAGAGCTGTTATCCTTGTCTCTTTGAGACAGATTTCATTCTTCACTTTTCCTTCTTGTCCCTGGCCTGCTTTGTCATGGATGTTCCCTGCCTAACTTCTGTTGACATTGGAGTTTGCAACCCTTGTTTCAAGGCTAGTGTCATCTTGGAAGAAAGAGGCATCACGGTTGCCTAATTTCCATTCCTAGACTAGATCTGAGTCTCAGATGTTCTTTTAGGTTTAACAGCAAAGGCCTCTCATCCCCTCCACCCCCTTCCTGCTTTGGTGTTCCTTGAAAGCGATGCCACAGGGAAGCAGGAAGCCCAGGAAGCCTCTCTGAGGATGCATACACAGTGCATACACAGTGCATCTCTGAGGATGCATACACGGTGCATCTCTGAGGATGCATACGCGGTGCATGTTGGGGGACTGGGCCACCACACACCTCCAGGCTCCCCTGGACCAAAGCAGAGCCACGGCACAGACTCAGATCTCTGAGGAAACAAAAATAGAAAATAATGGGAATCGCTCACACAGCTTACTTTTTGAGAGGAATGCGTCCTTCTGGAGTGACTTGCAGCTTAAGTTTAGTATACCTGTTGGAGAAGCAGAAAACTGTTTAATTTTTTTAAAATTTTCATTGATGAATAAAATGCATAGAAAAAGGCTCTTTCATATGTACAGTTGGCTGAATTTTCACCTATTGTCCAAGTTTCTGCAATCAGCACCCAGATCAAGAAAAAGAATATTCTTATTTTAATAGAATCCCAGGAGCCCCTCTCATGCCCTTTCCATAGCTGGTCCCCCAGGAGCAAACCATTATCCTGACTTTAAACATTCAGATTAATTTTGCACTTTACATAATAGAATCACACTCTTTTATGGATTCTTTCACTCAACATTATATTTTCAAGATCCATCCATATATTTGCTTTTCACTGTGAATCTTTCACTCTCATTGCTGTATGGTATCCCATTGTGTGACTATAAAACTGCACTTATCTCTTTCACTGCTTCTGGGTGTGCAGACAAAGAGAAGACACAGGAGAGCTCACAAACTCTTTTGATGGGTATATAAACTGGGACCACCAACTGCTCACGCACACAGCCATTCCATTCCTAGGTGTGGATGCAACATAAATAAATGCTTACAGTGTGTTCCCCATAAGGCGTGCTCTAGAATGACCACAGCAGCTATTCATGGGCAGATGCCTGTTGGAAGTGGACATTTGCAATAGGTATGACTAGCCAACTAGCTGTTTTACTAGCTGCAATGTGCTATGTCTACGTGTCACTTTCCACCAACATTCTGTGTGGCACAGCAGATTTTCCAGAAAGTCTGTTAGATGAAGAATGATAAGAAGACAATTGAAACAACAACAAAAAAAGAGGAATAAAGGGCAGAGGAGAGGGGAAGGCATGTAGAAAGGGTCCTGAAGGTGACAAACTAATGAGATGAGAGGATGACACGAAAGAGCATTTGAGAAAACCCATGAAGTCCTGACTAATAGCAAAAGAAACTCATGGAAGAGTATGAAAGAAAAGTGGACTGGAGTCTTTGGTTTGGAATGATGGGTATGTCTTACAGAAGAGGGAAGACAGAAAGTTATTAAATAAAAATAGAGGACCACCTAGTAATGTTTCCATTTCTGGTCCTGATTTCAACGTTTTCCAACCTCCTGAACACCCAGTGTCCAAACTGATCACAACCAGCTTTCCTACTTGCTCATCTGGCAGAAACTGTTATTTTCCTTGGTCAAATAAATTTCAGAAAGACTATGTAATTCGAGAGTGATTGGGTACTCCTGATTTGCTTTTTTTCTTTTTGTTTTCATTCTGCTTTTTCCTTTACATTCTTTTTCTCTTTTCTTATTAACAGTTGCTGTGATTGTCTAGAAGGACAGGAATCAGGACATCAGCTTACTGATTTAAGTTGCATCTATCAGAGATCTTAGACTCTGGAGAATTGAGTCCCATATGTTGTTCGTTCGCTTCCTCAGATTAATAATTGATACAACGCAGGCAGATGTAGGGCTGACGACTCTCTGAGATGAATAGTTTTTGATTTTGGGCGTAGTTGCAGGATTTAGAAGTATCTCCTTACTGCGTGTCAAAGGCATTGACATTCAGGCCAGCGTAGTGTAACACAGATGCAGGGCTGAGAGGAAAGAGCGATCTTTACTGGAAGTCTTCCAATTCCAAGCAGTGAACCTATCAGTTCTCTAACAAGTCCCGGAGGGAAATTTATGTTTATCAATGTGAGAAGCCAGTGCAGCATAAACAAAAGACTCACAAAGGAGAAAGGAAACTGACTCAGATGAAGCAACACCCTTTGCAATAAAATTAGAGCTACTTACGCCTTTTCCAGAAATGCGTCCCTGGACATGTTTTGGGCCAGCAGGTTTGTTGCCAAACTGAAAACCTCATTTGTCCATTCCTGAAAAATATGATTCACACTTTCATTAGCTTAAATACTGTGCAGTCATTAGACATATGTTTTTAGCAAGGCTACTAGGAAGACAAATTAGTTCAATTTGCATGCCTAAGGGTTTTTTCTCTTTTTTTCCCCTCTGTTAAAATGACATAATTAAATTCAAATCCCTGAACAACTACTCTTTTCCTAAGGAAACGTTCTTTACCCATAAGCAAAATTTTATCTGCTTTTTAAAATACCTACAGATAGAGAACTGATATATTGCCTTTAATAACCAAGTATGTCTCACTCTTTTCCTTGTGTTATAAACACATAAAGAATTTTAAAATGTAGTCAATTATATTTCCAACAGGGCTTCCCAGGTAGCATTAGTAGTAGACAACCCACCTGCCTACGCAAGTTTGATCCCTGGATAGGGAAGATCCCCTAGAGGAGGGAATGGCACCCCACCCCAGTATTCCTGCCTGGAAAATCCCATGGACAGAGGAGCCTGGCAGGCTACAGTCCATAGGGTAGCAAAGAGTCAGATATGACTGAAGCGACTTAGCACATATACATATTTTCAACATGTCTGCAAAGAAGATCTTCCTATTTTACTACTCAAGCCAAAACAGCTACACCAGGGAATCTTTAAATGTTAATTACAGTTCTAGAAGTCTCTCAACTAGCTGCAGTCCCAATGTCACATAATACTCAGTACCATTCCCTCCCCCCAGCTCTGTCCATTCCTTACTGCTCCCCTAATCCCAATCCCTACCTCACACCATTCATCTCTGATTTTTCTTGGCATCCAAAAAAATGCAAAAGAACAAATATACAATAAAAAAGCTGAAGTTCTATTCTGGGTGATGATTTTGAACACTCATTTAACATTCTGGGCTGGAAAAAAAGTCTCTAAGAGAAGATGAGATAAGAGCTAAGTAATGTAATCATCCGATGTTGCAGTTGACTTGGCTCCCTCTTCAATGTTCAACAGCTTTTCCATCTAATTTTGTTATTTCTACTATAGTTTTTATTGTTATTTTGTGTTTTGCCTCCTGGTTTATGAAAATATGCAAATAATATGCTATCATGTAATGCAGAAACAACTGAGGTAAAACTTGGGGTACCAAGTGATGGGGCAGGGAAAGGGACACTCTAAGCAGAGTTTTGTGTGTTTGTTTTTATTTTAAAATATTGAATTTATGTTAAAAAATCAGTGCAGTAAAAACTGCCACACAGATAGTTATTAATGACAGATGCTCCTATCCATTCAAGTATAGATATGTAACTCCTTAAATTAAAGATTCTTAATTTTCTTGAGTGCCCCTTGGACTGCAAGGAGATTCAACCAGTCCATCCTAAAGAAAATCAGTCCTAAATATTCATTGGAAGGACGGATGCTGAAACTGAAACTCCAATACTTTGGCCACCTGATGCAAAGAAATGACTCATTTGAAAAGACCCTGATGATGAGAAAGACTGAAGGCAGGAGGAGAAGGGGAAAAGAGAGGATGAGATGGTTGGATGGCACCACTGACTCAATGGACATGAGTTTGAGTAAACTCCAGGAGTTGCTGATAGACAGAGAAGACTGTCATGCTGCAGTCCATGGGGTTGCAAAGAGTCAGACACAACTGAGTGACTGAATTTAACTGAACTGAATTTTCCTTGACCATAAAGAGAACTGAGCACTGAAGAATTGATGCTTTTGAACTGCGGTGTTGGTGAAGACTCTTGAGAGTCCCTTGGACTGCAAGAAGATCCAACCAGTCAATCCTAAGGGAAATCAGTCCTGAATATTCATTGGAAGGACTGATGGTGAAGCTGAAGCTCCAATACTTTGGCCCCCTGATGTGAAGAACTGACTGATTGGAAAAGATGCTGAGAAAGATTGAAGGCAGGAGGAGAAGGGGATGACAGAGGATGAAAGGTTGGATGGCATCACCGACTTGATGGACATGAGTTTGAGCAAGCTCTGGGAATTGGTAATGGACAGGGAAGCATGGTGTGCTGCAGTCCAAGAGTTGGATATGACTGAGCAACTGAACTGAACTGAATTTTCTTTGAAGACTTTTAAATCCTGAGGTTATATAAAATTAAGCAAAAAACATGCACATTAAGCACAGATGAATTTTGCACAAATAAGTGTGATCAAGCCAATTAAATTATCACCTGAAATAACTTGGACTTCAAAGAAAAATCTCAGATAACAACACCATATGTGCTGTAAAAGGATTTACATTATTCTGTCGGTTATAACTTACTGGCAGGATTTAGTGAGAATGGGGAGTAGCCTAAATGAATTGGAAAAAAGAAGGGAAGTTGTAACAAGAAAAGTAGAGTTGGGGGGAAAATGAATTAGAAAAAAAAAGAAAAGTAGAGTTTGGGGACTTCTCTGGCGGTGCATTGGTTAAGGCTCAATGTTTTTACTGCAGGAGGTGTGGGTTCTATCCTTGGGTCAGGAACTAAGATTCTGCATGCTGTGGGGTGCAGTAAAAAAAAAAAAATAGAGTTGGCATGAGAGTATAGGAAGTATTTAATGTCTGTTTAGTGTTTTGGAGAGAATTTGGCAAAAAATATGATATCATTGAAGGCCTTTCTTTTAGGGTGAAGGTAGGGCTGGACAGTGGGTTACAGAGGTAATGTGGTAGCCAATACAGGTGGGTTTGAGGCTGAGAAATGAGACAGAGGGCACTCAGCTATGAAGCTGTCACAGTCCAGGTAAGAAGTATTGACACTCTACAGATTGTTGGTGGAGGGCTTGGGGGAGACAGTACAGAAGAGCTGTCAGTGAAGCAAATTTGATAGACACAGAGAAAAACTTTGGAATAACTATTAATAGCTTTAAGATAAAATGTCCACATATTAGATTATTTTAAACTAAGAGTAATAATTACTGGCACTGATTTTCAAAATATGTTTCTAGTATAATACTCAATATTTTCCAGGTTAGGGGTCAAACTGTAGACTTTTCCAACTCCAAGGCAACTGTGTGTGTGTGTGTGTGTGTGTGTATTAGTTGTTCAGTCACGTTTGACTCCTGGCAACCCCATGGATTGTAGCCTGCCAGCTCCTCTGTCCATGGAATCATCCAGGCAAGAATACTAGAGTGGGTTGCCATTTCCTTCTCCAAGGGATTTTTCCAACCCAAGGATCAAACCAAGGTCTCCCACATTGCAGACAGATTCTTTTTCACAATCTGAGTCACCAGGGAAGTCCATGGCAATGTTATGCATTGGTAAAATTATTTATAACTGAGGGCAGTGTACCATTTTGTATATTTACTCGTGGCCAATTGCACACCAGAAATAGGTACAGTGAAGGTATTATGAAGACCTGGGGAGATTTAATTTGGTCTGACATTTAAGGTTGAAAGCTAAGACCCTATTACATTCAGTCCAATAGAAATATGAAGGTACACAAATAATTTAAAATTTCCAGTAGCCACTTTTTTAAAAGGTAGAAATAAACAAGTGAAATAAATTGAATAATAAATTTTATTTAACCCAATATTTCAAACATATTATTTGCCATATAATCAACATAAGATTATTGGGCTAGTTTCTTTTCTTATCTTCATCTTTGAAATGAGGTATGCATTCTGCATTTACAGCCCTTCTTAATTTGCACTGGCAACCTTTCAAGGACTCAACAGTCACACATAGTTGGGAGTTTTGTCTGCATTATTGGTGAGCACATGTCTTCTAGATCCTTTGTTCTTTCTATGGGTCCTTTATAAAGCCAGTTGAAGGACTGCATCATCACCACATTCACTGAACAGTCGCAGCTCATTCAGAAAGTAAAGCAAAACTTATTTCATCACAGTCTCAGAATGTGAGCATCTAAATATCCAAGTATGAAACTCCTAGAGTCCACTGATTTCCTGTAGCCTTATGAGGTGTGCAGAAGATCTGAGCCAGCCTGAATCAAAGACTCAGGGTCTCAAGCAATGACCAAGACAACTTTAGAAACAACACAGTCCTTGGTTGGTACTGGTGTCAGTCCATATTATATGGAATTAAAACAGCATGGTATGTTGCAGCCCATGGGGTCACAAAGAGTTGGACATGACTTAGTGACTGAACAACAAAAAAACAGCATGTGTTTACTTTGGGCTCCCCAGATGCTGAGACAGGATTTAGGAGAAATGCGTTGACTATGAAGTGCTCTGGGGCAACGTTACCAGGAAGTGAGCAGGACTGGGAAGGTAAGAAGGCAGAAGGGTGAGGCTCCAAGCAAACTCTGCAGATGGGAACTTCGGTGTAACCCTTCCCTGTGTACAATACCACCCAAACTTGAATTTTCCGATGAGCAGAAAGGGAGCTGGAGTTTGACAGTCCCTGTGCCTAACCCTCTTGGAGGGCACGAACAAAACCTGGTGTGCACCAGAACCCAGGGGAAAGGAGCCGTGCCCCTACAAGAGACTGAGCCAGACCTGTCTGTGAGTGTCCAGGAGTCTCTGGCAGAGGTGTGGGTCAGCGGGGGCCTCTGCAGGGTCGGGGCACTGAGTGCAGCAGTGCCTGGGAGCTTGTGGAGGAGGTCACCATTATCTTCATTACCTCCACCACAGTTTGGTCTCAGGTCAAACTACAGGAAGTGAACACAGCCCGGCCCATCAGCAGAAAGTTGGATTACAGATTTACTGAGCATGGCCCCACTCATCAAAACAACACCCAGTTCCCCCCTCAGTCAGTCTCTCCCATCAGGAAGCTTCCATAAGCCTCTTATCCTTCTCCATCAGAGGGTAGACTGACTGAAAACCACAGTTTCAGAAAACTAACCAATCTGATCACATGGACCACAGCCCTGTCTAACTCAATAAAACTATGAGCCACGCTGTGTAGGGCCACCCAAGACAGACGGGTCATGGTGGAGTGTTCAAACAAAACGTGGTCCACTGGAGAAGGGAATGGCAAACCATTTCAGTATTCTACCCTTGAGAATCCAGCCCCATGAACAGTATGAAAAGGCAAAAAGATAAGATAATGAAAGATGAACTCCCCAGGTTGGTAGGTGCCCAA